CTCTCTCTCTCTCTCTCACTCTCACTCTCACTCTCACTCTCATTATTATTTTTACATAAATGATTTTTATAGGCTAATGTTGTAGCACAAACGAGAATTCAGTATAATGAACAACAACTTAATCAATTAATATATCAGCATCTCATGTCAAAAGGTTTAAGTGAAACGGCTAATACATTACATAAAGAGGCAAATTTGGAATCATCTACAATTGTAAGAGCTGCAACAACATATCAACCTTTTACATACAGGAACCCTTCAAATGTAACTGTAAGTTGAAATTATTGGAATAAATAGGAAGTTTTAAAATTTCCTATTTATACAGGTTGTTCCATTTTCCCATGTTCTCAAATGACAATGTCAAATATTTCTTGAACAGTGCATTTTACAAAAAAATATTTCAGATAAAAGTTTTATGACTTCGAGGGAGGCATAAAATAGTACCATTTGTTTGAGTTCGGATAGTCATTTGAAGATTACTTTTTATCTTAAATAAAAACTCTCATTTTTTATTGAAGTCATAAAACTTTTATATGAAACATTTTTCTCTAAAATGCACTGTTCAAGAGATTTTTTTTTTGAGATCATCATTTAAAATGGGATCCAATATGCACGTAGGTACGTACGCAAAGATATATGCACACACATGCATGCTCGCACGCACGCAACTTATATTCTATATGCGTGTGTATATATAGGATATGCATATGTGTACTTGCCAGCGCGTGCATATATATCGAAATATGTAGAGCATTTAAAGCGTTGCAAGCTATTGTTCTTGAAAATTCGTGTTGTGTAAAAATCTTTTAAACAAAAATTATAGGATTTCGAGAAGATTACAAGATTATGTTATTTAATCATTTGCAAATGACAAATGATTAATCATTTGCAAATGACAAATGATTATTGGTTCTTTATAAGTCATTTTTTTAATAGAATTAAGTATCTTTTGTTACTTTTTTGTATAATATGATTCTTGCAGTTATTCTGGCATATTTTGACATAAGATTAATGTATTTCGTTACGTCCGTACTTTCATGTTTTATTTTTAAGGGTAATAACTTGTGCATTTAAATGTCCTACTCTGTGTATATACTGTAGAAATATAAAATGTAACATAACATTGGGAATCTACTTCAAGAATGAATTTAGCATTAAAAAACAATCAAGGAGTTAATTGATATTTGATTTGATCTTGATTCAAAATTTAGCGGACTGAAATTATTCATAAAACATTATGAGATAATATTTAGAAAATAATCAACAAAGTTATATATAAAATATCCAATGTTTTTTAATAAGTAATATAGAATTAAATATAAACTTAAAATTATCGGAATATAGAATTTAGAAGAAATTATTGGAATATAAATTTTATTAAAATTTGAAAATAAAATTCATTGGGCAATATTTATATTAATTTTTTTTATTATCTTTTAATATTGAAATCATCTTTGAAATAAATTCCATATATCATGTTGAATATATATATATCTGAATATATATAGGGTGATTCTTATAAAATACTCGATATGAATCTTTGCAAAATTTGGAAATATGAGAGAACAATTTATTTGGAAAATATTTGATATTTGGTACAAATGAGACATCACATGATGAAAACATTGTAAGTAATGTCAATGAAATCTCAAGATCAATTTTGTTTTTTAAAATAATATTCTATACTTTAGAATGCATTAATTAATAGTTTTCATTCAATTTTTATAAATATTTGTAGATATTGAGAGATTTATGAGAAATCATTAATTTAAAAGATATTCTGATATAAGATATCAAAATATTATTTTTTAATGATCTTGCTTCTTTATGCATTTAATATTAAAGTAAATTAATTGATGTAAAAAAAGTACTTGTTTTAAGAAAACATTTTTGATTATTACTAATTACTAATTTTAGATTTTACAAATATGTTTTCGATTGCAAATATTGCTTTATTAAAAAATATTTATATTTTAATACATTTGTTTTGTAATTTTTTTTTTTATTTCTGATGTCAGAATCCATGGTATCCGTCGTTCAGATAATCATGGTGATTAGATTATAGTCATTAGAAGCCTCTCAAAAAAACTAAATTGATCTTTATATTTCAAGAAAGAGTAAAATAGTAAAAAGCAAATTCGTGTACTATATCTCTTTTGAAATCAAGTAATTTTTGTTTTAAATATTTATTAAAAAAAATTATCTTCTTAAATTGAGTATTAAAAAATAAAATAGGACACCCTTTATGTATTTTTTTTAACAATTATGAAATAATTTTTTGTACTAAATGTCTGTTATAAATATCAAAATGTTAATTTTTCTGTTTTAGCCAAGGAATAGTTTTTCTCCAGGTGCCCCTGTTAATTTATATAATACTAGTAGATGTACACAAAGAGAAAATAATTGTAGAAATAATACTACTCCCACGTCGTCATCTCGATTTATATCCCATACGGGTGCTTGCACTGGTTCACCATCTATAACTAATAATGTTCGATTAAAACTTGCTGATTGCCTGAATCAAAATGTTATTTCAAATAATGCAAATCAACCAATTAAACTACAAATTAATCAGAAGTAAGTTGCTTATACTTTTTTTCAATATTTTTATAGCTTGTTATAGTAATATATTTTTATAGCTTTTTATATTTTGTTCTCCTTATATTAATATTTGACATTATGTTATAGGAAATCAATGTCATCCGAAAGACAACCTTTAGTTATTCCAACAAATCATCAATCAACAATGCAGTCTCAACCAACCAATTGTAGATCTTTACAAAAACAGATTTTTAGAGATCCTGGAAGTGGCGGAGGACCTGGTATAGCCACCTCTAGTGTATCTGTTACTCTTGATTCTATTATTACAGAATATTTAACTAATCAACATGCTCTTTGTAAAAATCCTATGGTAACATGTCCACAATTTAATCTTTTTGAGTAAGTAATAATATTTTTCTATTTATAAAAATAAAAAGTAAATAAAAAGTTACATAATATGTGATATAATTACTTTTAATTGAAAACATTTATTTAATTTATATATTTTAATTAATATAGACCACACAAATGCCCAGATCCATGTACAAAAAATTCTTCACCTACAAATGTAACAGTAAGATTAGCAAGGCGAGCATTAGGAATGGATGGTAGAAGATTAGATAGAAGACATATTTATAGTCGCTTTTGTCCTGTAAAAACTTTTCGGCCTACTGATGTAGGAGGAATATTCACTTGTTGTACTTTCTCGGTAAATTTGTATTCATTATTATAATTTATTCTCGTTTTTAAACCGTTATTTTATATCTCTCTTTAATTATATTTTTGATACAGCCTTGCACACAATATCTCATTTTGGGTACTCATGCTGGAGACATCAAAATGTTCAATATCCATACAGGAATGGAAGAAGCAACTTACCAATGTCATGAATCATATGTATATCATATGGAATGTAATCAACGTGGTAATCTTTTATTGACTTCCACTGCTTGGAGAAGTCCTATGTCAGCACTCTGGGATATAGGAGCGTTTTTTGAAATGAAGTTGCCTTTAGAAAATGAAGATTATGTTGAATTTGGCAAGTTACAAGATAGAATAATTGGTACCCAAGGAGAAAGCGCGACGGTAAATATACATATCCATCTATCCATCATATATCCATGTTCATACGTCCATGTCGATATTCACATTCATTCATTTTCCTTTCTTACACATATATATACATGTATATACGCATGCATGCACATATGCATATGCATATACACATACATATGTATATACATGCAATATATTATATATAACAGACACTATATACGTATGTACAAGGTGTATCATTAAAAGTGTAAACTTATTAAAATCGAAGGGGCACGGTTGGTTGTGTAAAATATATTTTATTAATGTTTGTTTTTTTTCTATTATAGATATACGATATAGGAACTGGAAAATTATTAACAACCTTGACGCCATCTATTTCAAATCAATATACTAAAAATCGTGCAACTTTTAGTATGAATGATGAATTAGTACTTAGCGACGGCATATTATGGGATGTTAATTCAGGCAAAGAAATTCATAAGTTCGACAAATTAAATCAAACGTTAAATGGAGTTTTTCATCCAAATGGAACTGAAGTTGTATCTAATACTGAAGTATGGGATTTGAGAACATTTCATTTACTTAAGACAGTTCCTACTCTCGATGAAATGGAAGTGATCTTCTCACCAGTTAATAATATTATATATGCAGTGTCGTTAGATCAAGAAAGCGAAAACGATTCTCATTATGTAACTTCCTTTAAGACCTTGGATGCTTTAGATTATAGTAATATCGGTAAGAAAGGAATATCTATATATATATATAAATATAAAAATATATTATTATTTAAAAGTATACAAAATATACTAATATTATATGTTATAAAATGATTTATATATTATAATATTTTAGCGACATGTGATGTAAAAAGAGGAATTTATGGTCTTGCCTGCAATAAATTTGACACTCAAATTGCCATAGTGGAAAATATGGGTGAATTTTCAAGCATACAAGAATCATGTGTTAGATTGTACGATGTTGGAAGACGAAGAGATGATGAGGATGAAGCTGATGAAGATGATGAAGAAGATGATCTTGATGCTAGTGACGACGATGGTTCAAATTCTGCATCTGATGATAATAATGCAGATGGTAAAACTTAATATTATTTATTTTTGAAATTTTTATATATTTCAGTATTTTATAAATGTTAAATATATTTATATTAAACTACAACATCGTAATAAAGTATATGTGTTTAAAACATGAAACTACAATTTATTTGTACTCTGTTAAAATAGATGGTAATAATGCAGATGCTGGTGCAGAAGATAATGGTGATGATAACGATCAGAATGATAGGGGAAATGATGATGACGATGATGATGACGATGATGAAGATGATGATGATGACGGTGATGATGAAGATGGAGGAGATGAAGACAATTCTGATGATGATAGTATGGATTACAATCCTAGTGTTGATATCCATAATTTATCTGATGATTTCTCTTCGGATATAGATGATTTGGAGATAATCACTTTCCGCTAACATCATTGAAAAATAATT